GCCGCCCGCCCGCCGAGAGCCCCGCCGAGAGCCCCGCCGCCAGCAGCGCCCGCCGCGCCGCCATCTTGGCCGTGGGTCACGTGGAGCAGGAGCCGGGGGCGGAGCCGGACGCGCGTGCGGACCGCGCCTCCCCCGTGCTGCTTTGGTCACGCCTCCCCATGGCCAGGCCACGCCCATCATTGCCAGACCACGCCTTCTCGCTGTCAGGCCACGCCCCTTATTGCCAAGCCAGTCCTCCTCGCAACCCAGCCACGCCGCCCACTGCCGAGTCATGTCCCCTCATGGCCCGGCCACGCCTCCTCATCGCCAGACCACACCTCCTCACCGCTAGGCCACGCCCCCGGGCTCCGAGTCGGAGCGCTCCGGGTTCGGTGACCCCGCTGACCCCGGAGAGGCTTTAGAGGGGGGGGAGAAACAAAAGTTACAGCTCAGAAGAGTGGAAACACCATGTATGTATCTTAGATTGTGGAAAAAGCGTAAAGATCTTTCATCTATTGCAACTTACTCCTGAACAGTCCTTGTCCTGCCCTAAACTAAGACAGTTCTTTTTAAACAAGTCTTTACAAAGCCAGTTCCACCCATTACCAGGCATTCTTCTAACAGTACTCAAAGTTGAGAGAGAATTCTTTGGTTCTGGTCAAAGGGTCAGAAGCGAGAAGATTAAAAATTAATTTCAATTAATTCGGAGGAAAGTGTATGTTTGTGTATTCAGAGGTTCAAAGTGGAAGTAATTTCCTAGAGATGAATACGGAAACTCATCAGCTGCAGAGACAAACAAACAGCCCAAAGAGCAGCAGAGCGAGGACACAAATGCAGGAAATGTACACAGGTACATTTCTTCCTTCCCATGGTACAAACAAGGCCTTGTGGCTGATGCACAAAATGGCCCTGAACTAGGCAGTTCTTTTATCTTTCTACCTATTTTTACCCACTTAACAACAGACAGGTATATTATTTCTCTTAATGACCCAATGACCCTTCACCTCTGTGCTGCACTGCGGCATTTTCTGTGCAATCACTGTCACCCACCGACCCCCACCCCGGTGACCCCCGTGACACCCCCGGGGTCCTCTCACTGAACACCCTGAGCAACACCCCCGAATCCCTCCCCGTCCTCCTCCGTGCCCTTTCAGCCACTTCCCAGCGCTCCCAGGACCCTTCCCTGCCCACCAGACCACCTCAATCTTTCCAAAGGCTCCTTCCCAGCGCCTCCAGGACCCCTCAGTCTCCAAAGGCTCCTTCCCAGCGCTCCCAAGACCCTTCCCTGCCCACCAGACCACCTCAGTCTCTCCAAAGGCTCCTTCCCACTGCTCCCAAGACCCTTCCCAACACCCCCACCACACACCACACCCCACATCACCACCAACTTTTATTCCAAACAGCACCAGGCCCGGCACATCCCCGCCTGGGGACCCTCATCCTGGGCCAGCCGCCTTCCCAGGACCTCCACGCCAAGGTCCCCCCGTCATTTCTTGGCCTGTACGTGGGCGCAGTCGTACTTTCCGCGCACCACGGTGAGTTTGACGCCGGGCAGGTCCTGGGTGCGCCCGCCCTGCACCAGCACGATGTGGTGCTCCTGCAGGTTGTGTCCCTCGCCGGGCACGAAGGCGATCACCTCACGGCCGGTGCTGAGCCGCACCCGCACGCATCGCCGGTTCGCCGAGTTCGGCTTCTTGGGCTTTCGGATCAGGTTCTTCAGCACCACCCCCTTGATCTGGG